TTATGATCTGTAACACTTAGCCTTTGATTGTGATATTCTGAGTGAATATTTGTAAAAATATGAAGGTTCTTTTGATTTACCATCTTTAGAAGGATTGAGATGATTCTTTGTAGATCGATCGTTGTGTTATGAGAGATAAGTGTTCATGTTCTATCCTTTTGTACTGGTTAAACCTTTGTAACATTTCGTTGCCATTTTGGACTATTTAGTTCAACTGAGCATAATCTAATTTATTGGATGATCAACGGAGGATGTAAGCACTGAACTGGTCGTCGAACCCCTTGGGCTTAGGCCAAAAGAAATCGCATGTGTTGGATCCTTTAATTTTTGCACTTTTACTTTTTGTAAGATCGTTTGTTATTGTTTCTCAACACTTATATCGTGTGAACCTGATCCTATAGTAGTAACTTCATGTCTTCCGATCGATCTTCATGTTTTTTGCCTCATTCTATGCCCTAAAACCCTTCTGGATGTATTTGAACGCATAAAATAATAATCACTTAGTGATGGCACTAGGACTTTAAAAGACGTCCCAATATTGGTTTCCATAATAATTTCAATTAAATAAGAAAACCAGATTTTTCACGCTAGAAAGCATATTACAAATCAATACATTGAAGCCTGCTGAAAATGGCTATGTGACCACAAAAGAATTAACACTATGTGTGACCGCATAGTGTTAACAAGATTCCAAAATTTGTGTTTTAGTCAGTGAAACTCCATTTCTCGTTTCTTGACATCTTTTCTCATTTTTTTCTTCTTCCAATACTTCATGTCTTCATTAAATTGTCCTTGACTCTTTTCACATCTTCGTTTCTGCTTCTGGGTCATCTTTTGACTATTTGCACTTTGGTCCCTAAACTTTTGTTTTCTTCCATTTTTGTCATTTTTATCGCTTTTTCCTCCTTATTTTCCCCCACATTCATCAATTTTGTCCTACATAACATAATTGGGTAATTGGCACAAAATGTCTCTACCTTTCATTTTTTGACATTTTTGTCCCTATTTCCACATTTCTTTGCGTCGAAGGTCATTTTTACTATTTTTTGGGTGTAAAATGATCAATATGCCCTCCTCTTTAAATAAAAGAAAAAAAAAGAAAAAAAATTGCAACTATAGGCGAAACTTCTAAAAAAGTACAAATGTCCCCCCCCCAAAACTTCATCTTCTTCCCACACCTCACCCCCACGCCACCGCCACTTGCCGGCTAGTTTTAGCCATCTTCCTGTCAGCTTGGCAATCGGATCAACATACCAACTTGAAACCCACACTTCTCTCTTCACAACCCATCCAGCCACTAGCCGAAAATCTAAAGGAATTGGCTGAAAAATTATGCAAAAATTAGCTCCTCGGGCAACATGAAACGGCAAAAAATAGAGGCCGAAATCTCCATTTCCAACAATACCCATGGCACACCCATCCTCCAGGTCGATTATGCTTCTCATTGCGCTTATATA